TTGACGGGCATTTTACTTGTTCGCATGTAAAACAAACTGAGGTTGGCGTAATGCATGATTGATTGAGGTTGGGTAGGCAGTCTTATGGTCGGTTTAATTTGATAGTTAGATGTTGTTAGGCGTTGATCAAGTTTCATTTTGGAAAATGCATAGATGCTGTTGTTTCTATTGTTCGAGAGGATTTTAAGCATAAATTAAGTAATTGCTCGGACAAAGAGAGATAAGAAATGATCTATGGAGTTTCGTATATGAGAGATATCAAGTGGTTTCACTGTTTTCTTTTATATGTGTTGAAGTGTTATGCATCTCCTGTTAAGCAAGTCTCTACTTGAGAAAATCAATTTTGGGCCCATGTACAACGAGAGATCGTAGGGGATTCCAAACAATGCCCCTGAGGGATGCGGAATAATCGGCATTGTTGGAATATTAACTTAAATGAATGTTGGCCTCACCGTGAGTAGTGACACTATGGGTGGTTGGGAGTTCTGCAGTGTTTCATACACCAATTCAAATCTCCTCGAATGCAGCTATACCGATTTCGTTTAACCCCGATGCTTGCCGTATTTTCTTATAGGTAGTGGGATGTAGACTTGCTCATCTTGGTGACCAGTCTTTGTCTACGTTAAAAAGCCTTACGATCGCGTTACAGCCATAGATTCCAGGTATAATCTGTCTGCCTTATTTGTAATCGAATGTGCGCTGACAACAAACATGAGAACAGATGTGGCTCAAATCTTCGAGCTACACTTCAGTAGACCGATGTGCCTTAGACCTACGGATGACGCCCTGTAGCAATTTGCCAAACGCCTTAGGTTGACTTCAAAGATGACATCAATATCCTTCTCATCGGAGGAAGTTTGCAATCCGATTGTTTCGTCTGTTGATAACAGCCTACATTCCGATCCATTGAACGCAGTATCATTTTCTCTTTGAAGCCATATTTTCGCCGTTCCTCTGTGGGTGATGACTTAACCGTCTTAATCGGAACACACGAGTGTAAAATTTTGTCATGTTTGAATCATATTCGTCCTGGAATTTTCCCCGCCGTATTTTGTTTAACTGTATGCTTGAAGCTTACAAAAGTTAAAAGACGTTCCTTTTCTAACGGAAACTATCACCCAGTGAAAATTTGCTGTAATTGACTTATTAGAGAACTCACTTATTAATTTTTCGATTGTTTAATTTCTGTATATTATATATATTTTTTCGCACGTCTGAACCCAGATTGTACCATATAAATTATAGCATAATAATCTTTATAAAAAACGTTCCATGATTTGCTCGTGGGTTCGATGCTGTTAAGCTTCCCAGGTCAAAGTAGGGAAATTTTCCTGGGGAATTCACAACCGGATCCTTTGGCTGGCCGAAATTTGACCTGCATGTTTCCATAGCGGCATACGACTGCAATGTAGTGTGTTGCTTCAAAAAATACATCTTTTTGCGTACACTCATTGGATCTGTTTTGCACTTGGTGATCGCTGACGTAGTTAAACAACGGGAGTCTCTTGGTGAATTATCAAGACGATTGATTGTATTTCTTTTGTGCCAAAATTAGTTTTCACGTTTGCTAATACTTTCACTTTTATACCTGGCGTGATGATTGTATTTTTATACTGCGAAACAGATAGTCTGAATCGCTAATATCGTTACGTTCATTTTGCCTTATGGTTATTTTTGTTATTGGACGTATGATTATTATTATTTTGCTGTACCACGGGTTAGGCTTCAAATGATGGTATTCACTGGACCGTTCTTCGCCAACACGTGGATGATTCTAGTATTCAGTCCCTGTCAGGGAGCCGCGCTGCTTGGAGCCTAACCACGGAATCTGGTGACGATAGTACGATTTCAGGTGAAGGGGAGAAAAAGGGATATCGATTCTTCAAGATCAAATCAACAGGCGTGAATGCCAACGGTGGACGTGAGTTGGCTTTAGGTGGACTGGAGTTCTACGGTACCGTCTGCGCTGCACATGATTCGGTAAGAATTGTTCTGTGATATCCTTGTGCTTTCAGTGACCATCGTCGATGTCTCACAAGAAGATGGGAGCTTTACGTGTTTGCATCCCTTCCTTTTGGGATTTAAACCTCTTCCAGTTAGCCTGTTCATCGAACTTAGCAATTTGTTTGCAAACGTTTCATCACTAGCCGAGGTGACATCATCGGTGCTTGTGAAGTGGCAGTGTTCTGCTTGTGTCCGTTGGTTTGTATTCTTCTCTACCGTCTATTTGTCCCTTGGTCTCATTGTGTTCAATTCGATTCGCCATTAAACTGGTGCGCGGGAGCGAGGGTGGCAGGGGTTTGTCTTTTCGCCCTGATTGCGGTTTCGTTCCGTCTTCAGGTCACGGCGTGACCTTTTTCGTTGCGTCATTTGATCCTTGAGTTGCAGTGGCGTGACCCAGTTCGGTGTACCTGTTTATTGAGTTGATTGTAGTGCCTCGAGAAATTCTCCGGCGTGTTTTGATCGGGCTCGGTAGATAATTTTCACGGATTCTAGGTCAAACTGATGTTCTTCTTGATCTTCGTAATGGGAAATCAACAATAGTGGGTCATGCCCCCTGAATGCTGATTGGTGTTCACAGATCCTTGTTGACAGTTTTCTTCCAATTTGTCCGATATAATTTTCTGAAATGGTAGCAAGACTGCTGAGGTCATATGGAATCCAAGTCGCCCACAAACTGACTGTCTATCTAAGGAGACTTCTGTCAAAACCAAAGGAGAGAACAATAGAGAAGGACAAGAGCAGTGTTATCTACCCAATAAACTGCAAGAACTGCCCATAACAATATATATATATATATATATATAAACGGATACAAGCGGAATATTGCCACTTCACAAGCACTGATGATATCACCTCGGCTGTTGATGAAACATTTACAAACAAATTACCAAGCTCAGCGAACAGGTGAAGTGGAATTCAGTTCACCCGATCTGCAGGAACCGATTTTGAATAATTTTTTTACAATTTAACTATCTTTTTTCATTATTTTTTATTTTCCTCCCTCGCTCTAACTTGTTTATTTTTAACTGAACTGTAGGCTTTATACCTACAGAAGTTATTACAATACAATACAATTTTCCAATTTTTTGTCCCTATGGATGGAATTGTGTGCGCTGACAAAACGCAAGATATCTTTTTATATCATGTCACCTTTGTCCCACTGCGTTGTGTTCTTCCCTTTAATATCAAATTTTCTCTTCACTTTATGCTCGGCATCTCCTCGTTGTTTAGCTGAGAGCAGAGCGATTTTTCATAAATAAACGTATAACTTCGGTCAATCAGGTTTGGGCTCTTGGGGAGTTATAGCCGTCACTCATCCTGTCTAATGAAATTCGATCGGGTGACTGTGTATTCTCATTCTCTATCCAATTTTCCTATAGCTATCCTCTGCAAACAATTTTCCGGCTTTCATTCTCTTGGAATAAAACTCATCGCATAAGATAGGATTGCTAATGAGATTGAGCTGCCACTAACAGCTTTCCGTTCAGTGTTATAAAAACCTTACCGTTCGGACTGAACAACTTGGCGCAAAGGTATCCGGATGCAGGTTGCATTTTGATTTTCTGACCCTAAATAAATATGCTGCCTCACATTCTTTTAGCGCTTTGGTATTTGTTGCGTAAAATGGTGTTACACGATTGAATTGATTTCATTCCTAATCATATTAAAAAACGATGCCGAATCTATTTTATTGTGTAGACATTCTCACCCCTCCCAACTGAAAAATACCAAATAAAATATTTAACACACATCAAATTCGGGAACGTAATAAATACTGACTCTCGATGTTCAAATATTGCTGTTGACATCGCATGGCATGAGTCTGATGAAGAAACCAGAAGAAGAATACTGAGGTTAGGCGCGGAATTTTAGGTAATCGCGGTGACCCACTGGGACGAGGGGTCAACCTCCGTGGATTATGTTGTTTGGGGTGTGTTACGCATGTCACCAAGTGGATGGCCACGGTGCGTTGTTTGTCAAGGCAGGTAGTGGATGTCAAAAAGTCAAGAGCAGTCAAACTAAGAGCTAGCATGAGGGTATGAATGACCCCACCAAGAAATTCGATCACAAGGGTCGCGTTTTGCCCCCTGGTTGAGGACATCCGAATCAGCGTAACTCATCATTTGTGGCACTGATACGGCTGAGTGCCGTAAACAGTGACGCACACGCATCTTCTCGATCTCTCTCCAACCTTAGTCCATCTGGATTCTATCTCTCAACGTTCCTCCTGCCCCTTCACTTTACTGGACGCCAAAATACCGCAACCAAAACCGTCACATGGTCAGTGGTTGAGTGCAGTTCAGTTTGTAAAACCATTAACCATGCACTTTCGTGTGCCGGTTTTGGTTACTGTCTTTTGGCTGCCCATTTCAATGTTTCAGTTTGGAGAAAGACAGGAAAGTAAAGTCAAAGCGAAAATGGAGAATTTAGGTGGACTGAGGTTGCAAGGAAGTTGAGAAGATGCATGAATGCCATTTGTAAATACTGGACTGAAGTCTAAGTAGGTTTACTCTACCTTACCTCGACTGGCTCCTTGCGACGCGTAAACGCGGCTTCATGAATTTGTCTAATCACGGTTGCCTACACATGATGGTTTTAGGTAAGGTCTCCATTGCATATGTTTATCCGGTTCATTTTTCATCAGGTCGTGTTAGTACCCTACGGGTTATTGTTCATAACTTTTCTGTTGACAAGGCAGTGAACATCAAAGTACTCTTGGTCGCGAACAATTTCCACTGTTAGGCCATTCAGTTACAAAACTCGTTACGCANCAGGGGGCGTCGTGAACATTAGAAAATTAAGCTATCATGTTTGATGCTGGTGGTTGTATTCTGTTTACTGTATCAATTCGAATAGTGAAGCATGCGAGCGGTTGTTTAGTGATGGCAAATCTCACTTCGATACATTTTTCTTTGATCACCTTAACGTTATTATCCAACGTACTGCGATTTTAAACGCAAGAGATTTACTCGTCGATCGTTTACCCCTCATTGATGCATCTGATTCACTCAATTTCTTCATTGATTTGCGTACAATTTACGTACTAATAGATGGATCTGTTTAAATCATATTCGGGATGTGTTCATTCAACAGCCCTTTGACTGGCCGCTTCCCAATTCCTGAAAACTACATCATCACATATTCAATAAAATGAAAATAAAACAGATTCAATGAAGATCTATAAGGACTATGGAAATTTATGGTTCAGCACACACACAGTGCGTAATAAAAAAATTGGCATTTAGGCTGTCTGCCGTAGCAATTTTTTATTAGAACTCCAAGGCGAGGTGATTATCCAGATAATATTGTTTGACAGAAAATGGATGAACAACATTCTTTGGATCAGATTGCGCAAAGATCAGTTGCCAGATCCAATTGTACTGCTGGGATGATCTCTGAGCTCAGCTAGTAGAACGTGTGGTGTGCTAAAGCATAGGCGGTATCCATAAGTGGGTTAGAACTTCACCTAGGCTGTTGATCTTTTCATAATTCAAACACAAGACCGTTGTTTTACCATCAACAACCAAACTTCATAGTTTGAACGTTTACCTTGCCTCTTTGAGGAAATTTGTCATAGGTGCTTTATATTCAACCTAGTGATGTGGGTGTGACGTGTAACACGTGCTCAATCACACCGACTTCTTCAAATCAGGTCTCACATCTGTTTCTCTCACACGCCAACCTATTTCTCATACCTTTTTCGACTCTACTAGCGTGATCATTTGTGAAATCTGCTCGGTATTGCCGCTTCGCTCTTTGTAGTCCGTTGACTCTTTCGTGTTTTTTGGTACTTCTGTTCGCATTGCGTAAAATAAACAACCAAACCTTTTGGTCATGTGATGCATGTATTCTTTTCATTTTGGTTTGTTCATGTTCAGCAAGACTAGGCCCTACATGTAATGCATTCTGTTATGCACTGTTGAGCCGATGATGAATTGATTACTGATTGACTGATTTTAGTTATTTTTTGTATTCTGTCGTGCCACTTTCCCTGAAACATAGCGAAAGTAACCTGCGCCTTTTGAGTTCGTTCCTGTTTTATCGGGACCCGTTGTATCCCGGTTTTCAAATGTTAATGTGAAACAAAAGTTTAGAATCCAGTGCCAGACACCGATTCCAACGCTTCACCATTATCAGTCGCGTTGAATCGGATTTATCTTGGGCAAGTCTGCAAGAAAATACAATTCTACCATATGCCACGGAATGTTAATCCCCAAAAGTTGGATTTGATCGGGAACACCTGGTTCATTCTCAGTTACGCTATTTGAACTTTCAGGTTGACGATTTTGAAAATGAGTCTTAGGAGTCCCCTCCTCGTAACAAACTGCATGCTCATTTGTGCATGGATTCGTCATTTCCGATGAGGGTTATTTGGTTGAAGTTTTCAGAACCAAATATACCATATCTGTTCATATTCAGTGCTGGCTTTGTAGCTATGGAGCCGTGATCGAACAGGATAACCACCTGCGCTTTTGCATCTGGTTGCTTTGTCATTGGTCTTGCAGTTTTAACGTGACACCGTGCTTCCTTTAACCGTGATTTGCTCAGTTTCTGTTGGTTTTCATGAGACGTATTACTGCATCGTTTTTATTATGCTTATGGAAACGAAAATGAGCGGGATGGGATTCTACTTTCTAGGGTTATGACACGGAACAAAGACAAATACATCTATTTTCGAAAGTGTATTCATTTGTTTTCTGCTCGATTTGCGCATCCACCCATGGATCGTCAGGTCTTCGCCCCCGGTCATTTGGCTAGATTGATCCATCGTGAGTCGTTCCCGAGTGTTGCGTCCCGGACAATGGTGCATCGTGCTAGCATTTCGGATAATTCGGCACGCGGCCATAGACATTCACTACCGAAAGAACAGTCTACCGATCAACCGAACGAGTCCAGTGCTTGTGAACCGAGGTCAAAAACATCTGCTGGATATGTGGACACTGCACTGGGGACGACTGAGACACCAGATATACGAGCACCGTCGCCACCACCTCCACCGCCACTGCCGATTTCAACTCGAAATTTGTGTGACACAGTCGTTTCACGTATGAATGAGGGTTGCGTCACTGCGGAAGTGGTAGATGATGATGATGACGTTGATGTTGATGACGATAACGATGAGGATACAGCGGAAGCCGAAGAGGATAGTCGTGACAGCACCTTATCCGAACGTTTGTTTGGTAGACTAGGTGTACTAGATTTGACACAGGTCAGTACTGGTTCATGATAAAATTGTTCAATTTCGAGTTAAAACCATGAAGCGTTTTCATTTCATAAAAATTGCTACATTGTAATTGCATATATGTATGTATGTATGCATATATGTATTTGTGTCTTTTTCAAAAATTCCAATGATAGAACGACACTCGGAATCCACCACCTTTATGCACTAGGGATGAAGTTTTGATGCGTTTCACCATCGGAATTGGGAAATCTCAACTTAACGGACGGATTGTCTGATGAATACGGTTTATCTCCATATGCTTTTACAGCGATGGCAACAAGTATCCGTTAGATTCGTTCAAACTTAAATTAAATTAAGATTTGTCATCTTGAATATCCTAGGCATTCTTCTGTATACATGTGAAAGTGTCTAAATAAAATGTTTGGTTGCAACCCAATGGGAAACCGACCTTTATAGTTGGAGTTATGAGAACAAGTTTTGGTCATTTTCACCTAATGAAAGCTTTATTCCGCATTATCCACAGGGTGATACCAATTTGCTACAATATCTTGACGGGATAATTTCTTCCGATCGTTCATCCGAAGGAATCCGGCGATTTTTACGACACATTCGTTCACAGGACTCTACGGATGGTAAGTTGATTATTCATCAAATCACGTACGTTTGTCAGTTTCTACCAATTACCAATGGAGGTTTGTTGTAACCATCATTTTACATTTTTTCTCACCTGGTTCACTAACTTTTATCGTATCCTAGATGAATCTTTGTCACAATTCATGTGGCCCAAAAAGCTCAGTCCGGGAGCATCGCCTGTCGTGTGTGATGTGACAAGCAGTCAGACTCAAGAAGTATCTGCGGCCGTCCACGAATCTGGTGAAACGAATCAACCCAATGAGGATCCCAACTTGGTACCGCCGAGTGCAAAATGGACCCGTGCCGCTGTATCCGAGATGGCTATAGAGCCCCAACAACGAGGTCGACCATCAGCGCCACAGCCGTCAGGACAACAACTACAACAATCGTCAGGTGATGACAATTCGAACGATTCAGCTACCAAAACTGTTTTGGATAAGGCTTCCAATCCGATCGTCGCGGACACAATTCCCAGCATTGAACGAATGCATCACCACCACCATGCACACAGTGCCCTGGGCTTTCTCGATCAATCTGCCGGCGCGGATCTTTCCAGATCCCAAACAACAGTATGTTTGTTGCATTTACTGTTCAAAGATGTTTTGGCATATGCAGTGACATGTGTATCAAGTCAAGTCAGTAGTAGCTTTATGCTCCCGGATCGGTGAATTTTCAACATTTACACCATATATGTGGATTCAAATTTACAAAATCATTACATAATGAAACCGAAAACAGTGGATTGTGTTTGCCAATGTGTGGAACTTTTCTCCATGCCAGTAAGTAGATGAACTAGATAGGGAAAACCAGAATTACGATAAGCAGAGATACGAGCAAATTAAAGTTTAAATCTTGAGCGTATGGATGATGTAGATACAACTTTTGAAAATTCGTTGTGTAATGGGTGGTGAGTGTCTGAGAGTAATTTCACAGTGAAACTTTAGCATGCTTGTTTATGTCTATCTATGATGGAATCGGTGAGTTTATCCCTGACAGTGTCACTACACTTAGAAATATTTCAAATGGGAATTCGTCGTGTATATANGTGAACTGAAAAGCTCGGAAGCACTGAACAGCTGTTTCGACCTGGTTGGGTCTCATCAGCAGTGCGAATCCATCGACCCGACTGGAGATCGAACCCGGGACTTCATGGGCAGAACGCAAGCGTGCTAACCACTACGCTACCGAGCAGCTGATCAAACCGTTTTTCATTTTCCACTTACACGATATAGCACAACCCATCTTTGAAAGTTTGTTGCGGGCCACGGACCCTGCTCAACTCAGCGCTAGCTTCAAAGATCTCGCCAGTAAATAAAAGTGTTTATTCAACATACCGGGAAAAATCACAGGAGAGTAGTATAGCCAATGGGGTAGCACGCATTCATTCACTAACCTATCAATCAGCTTATGGCGGACTGAAAGTATTTCCAATCGGAGTGAGAAATATGAAAGCTTTCTAACTTTACAGAATATGTTTTGAACATGCAGTGACCATGATAAATTGTGATAAGGTTACACCAAGGTATTTTACTATTATTGATTTCTGTACGGGTTGTTGATTGGCAGAGAGGGCGGGGAATCTGTCTCTAAGGACTGAATATGGTACATCGGCCAAGAGGGAAAGCACAACATCGTGACATTTAGAGGCATTCGATGAGAGAGAGAACGGAACAAGGACCAAGTAACAACGTTGTTTAAATTGCTTTGAATTTCTGAAGTCTCTTCAGGAGTGGATGCTTTGCAACCTAAAACAACGTCATCTGCATATTTACAGCCAATGAATGCAGGAGGAACGGGAAATTGTTTGACATACGTTGAAAAGAAAAATGGGGAAAATATTGCACCTTGCAGAACACTAGAAGCAACTGGGCGAGTGGAGGATTTTTTTGCCGTTAAGTCATGTAAACTTTCTTCTATTTGTGCAATAAACACGAATCAGTCTGCTAACGTTTGGATTAACACCACTTTCGGTAATTAAGTTGAGCAATACCGATCGACTAAGACTGCCGAAAGCGTTTTTTTAGTCTAAGAACACCATTCTAACGGTCT